ACTAATACAAAGATAATCTATTAGTCCTTCTGAAAGTCAGTAAGATAGTTTTACATGGCAATGGTATGTTTCTCATTTAACTCTTTGTGAAAATGGCTGATGTAGTTTGGAAGTTAAACCAAACAAAAACACTCATGCTGAGACAGGTTTCTGCAGGTGCTGAACTTTATCCCAAATCCCATTTTCGTACAATTTTAAGCAAAGACAAATACTATCTAATAATGGGAGGTACAAGGCAACTGTAATACAAGTGGCACTAATGGTCCCACTTTCAATAAACCTATACCCCTTTTTTCAGCAGGATACTTTAAGGAAGCTACTTTAAGAGCTGCTATTTTTTTAGAGTATTTACATGAAAGAAGCTCTCCAAAAAAGAAGTGGTAGATTGTTTTACTTCTATCATGCTCAAATATGACAAGTAGCAAAAAAATACCATGGTGATGATTTGATAAAATTAGGTTTGGATAACTGTTGCTCTACAACTATTACTTTCGTAGCTGAATTCCTACTATAAGGTTTGTTTTTCTCACTTTAAAAATATTCAAGCAGCCAGTAAAAGGGGTATATAAAATTTGTGGTGAAGGTTGGAGTTCTGTGAAAACAAAGGAGGGGGGTGCGGTGGGGAGAGTTTGTGTCTCTGTATGTAGGAGGGATGAGTTATAAATCCTGAACTGTACTGTAAAGAAGATCAGGGGAAAAGAGACTTTTGAGTGGTCTTCTGTCTTTTGATGAGTTGAGATTTGTAGGAGGTCAGGAGACTTATCTAATTTCTGTACGTTTCACACAGAGATTTGTTATTGTAGCTGTGCTTACTGGTAAGTTTTCTATCTGCAACATAAATTCCAGCATTGGGAGAGCAAAGCATGTATCAAAGAGCACTGTTTTCTTCTTTCTGTGTACCAACAATGATACAGTAGGGCAGTACAGACATACTAGTGTTTATTGTAAATCTTAAGAACAACAGTATTTGTCCCACAAGAAGCAAGTTTTTGACAAGTGCCTATCAAAGAAGAAAAGAGATGTTCATCATCTGATAGAAGCTGAATAAATCCTAGACCCCTTATCCATGAGGAAAATTAACCTCAACAGGAGTTTTTCAAATATCTAGTACTTGTCACAGCATGTTTTTCATAAGGTTTTTATCTTTATTTATTTATTTATTTATTCTATTGTATAGCTTTCCTCTTTAATCATCACTATGTTCCTGAAAAATCTTGAGGAATATATATCAAAATTATTTAGAAAATATCTCACTACAGGTTCTGGCTTTATAGGTTCTGACTTCATAACACTATACTGACCAAGATATAGAAAAACAATATGGCAAAACCGTAGTCAGAATATGGATGAACTAACTCACTGATACAGTGACTAATCAGAGCAAGAAGCATAGCCCCAGAACAGCTTCTCCTTGGCTTTAGGATCCTTGTCATGTCAAAATTCTTACAGATTCATTTAACTGAGTCTCTTTAATCCCCACACAGTTACATTTTCAAGGCAATTGCGTTAACTACATTTGTTTGAGTTTGATCAAAAACTTATTTCTTGGTTAAAGTTTGGAACACTGTAAAAATCCCAAAAAGCTACATAGTATAGGTAAATATTATCAAATCAAAATTATTATAAAACTGTGAAAAGAACACAAAATATTTCATATGAGTGTTCAGGAGGTGAATAAATTTCATTCCTTTTTAAAAAACAGTAAAGACCCTATTTATAGATTTACTTACTGGACTTGTATTACTCCCAGGAGTAAGTAGACATACCCTGCTGCTGGATATGACTGGATACCACATCTAATTATTTTTTCCTTAGGTAGAACTATGTATTGAAAGCAAGAAACAAAAAACAGTTCAAAGTGTTTTACTTCAAGTTCAGATCTAAATATACATATTCATTAGCTGTTCCCACAATTCAAAAAAGATGTGGATGGACTTCAGAGGGTCCAAGGGAGGGCCACAGAGATGGTGCAAGGGCTGGAGAACCCACCCTGCGAGGAGATCAAAGGACTTAGTTCTCTTGTCCTCGACGAAGGCTCAGGAGGGACCTTCTCTTCTCCCTGGAGAAGAGAATGCTCAAGAGGAACATCATCACAGCATTCTTGTATATAAAGGGCAGAGAAAAGAGGAGCACCACAAGGAGCCACATGGAGAAGACGAAACAAGGAGTGCAAGTTGCACCAGGACACATTTCATTTCAATGTAAGGAAAAATGTTTTTAAAGAGAGAGCAACCATTCACTAGAGCAACATCCCCAGCACTGGAGGTTTTCAGAATGCAGCTAGGCAAGGTCATAGGCTACCTTTCCCATGAAAGGTTGGACCAGAGGAACTTTTAAGCATCCCTTCCCCAGAGAACAGTCCTGGGCTCTTCCATGATTTTCTTGTTCTATTTTCAGTTACCACAACAAGAATCATAGCTAATAAGTATTACTGAAAACAAAGCCAGTCATTAAGTCCTGGTTTGCATGACTAGCCTTAGAAAATGCTGAACATTATTCCATGAAAGATTCTCCAAAGAGTATTTGGATCAGAAAACTGCATCATGCTGACTTTCTCACTTGAAATTCTTGAAAATCTCAGTCCATGGTAATCCAGAAGTAGTGATGATCACTGTTCTTCTGGGGAAAGAGAGAAGACAGGGTGTTTATTGTTCTTTATGAGAAGTTGGAAGAAAAAAATCATGGAATACTTCTCCTTAAAGATCCAATTTGCTCTCGTAGGTCACTGAAGGATCTTTCAATGAACATACTTTATTTGACATTTGATAAGGTAGAGCTGTTTGTCAAAGTTGATGTCACATGTCAGTGTTTGGCAGAGTGGCCTTCTTTTCAAGGATGCTAGCTATCCATAGTAGGTCCCTTCTCTAACCTTGAATATATAACTCACCTTCCCCCTTACTCACTGAGCATACACTGTACATGCTCAGGAGCACTTTAGTAGAATAAATTTTACCTAATTTGAACTCATTTGGACAGACTTTGGCATTTCTTCCACTATTTGAAAAGCAGCTCATGATTCTGCAAATGCTGTTGTACGCATTGAGCTCTACGGATCAGCTTCACCAAACTAAGTATGTGCATTGACATTTGGGCATTAAATCCCTAACTTTCACCATTCCTTTGGATTGGGGGGTTTTTTTCACGGTTTTATCGTATTGTTGGATGAGTAGCAAATTCTCCTATGTGAGCCAATTACACTGGAAAGTATACAGGCACTAATCCCAGGATCCTGGCTATTCAAGCCACATTGAACATTTAGATTCTTCTGATCCCAATTCCTGCTCTGTTTTCAGTTGAAAGTTGAAATCTTTCATTTGCAGCCTAGAAGATGGTATATTCTTATGGTCCATAAGGGTTTTCAGTGAAGGCACAGCAATGCTGCAATAATGGCGAAACACCCTCTGCTGTGATGTAACCACTTACATGTTTTGCAAGAAGATCATAACCAGGACACTGTAGAGTCATGTATGAAAACATACAACAGAAGCAACAGCTGTGGGGTGGTCTTCTTGGAGCTAAGGCATCTGTCCCAATAGTTGGTGAGCATTCTGAAGGGTATAAGTGAACAACGTCGACAGTGTGCTGAATCCTGCTAATATTTTCTTTATACATTTCCTTGGGGTGAGGCAATCACAGACAGTTGATGCTTTCAGTTAAAAGGTATCTATTTATTTTATGCCTAGGTAGGGTGATGTTTGGGGTTTTTTTTTCCCAGTGAATGTTAACACGCAACTCATTGCTTGGTAAATACACATTTTACAGGACGTTTGCTAAACCATTCAACACAAATAGATCTGTCACAAAACAAATTCTGTTTCCCATATCCAGAAACTAAAAACCATGCCCAATTTGCTCTAATTCGTTAATTGTAAAGAAGTACAGGAATTGTACCTCCTTACACTTTATCATACAGCAGTATTTAAATAGTGGCATCTATTAATATAATATTGGACACTGGGAAAAAAATAGAAGACAAAACCAGTGACCTAATAAGACAGGTCATTGCGGAATCCAAAGAGATGCTGCATGAATAAAGAGGTCCATGAATGCGGTCAGTGTTACTGAAGCAGGAGACTCTAAATTATGCTAAGGTACACGTCACTCGTAAGAGTGAACACACAACCTGACCTCTGCTTTGAGATTCAGAGACACACTGTTTCATCCAGCAGCCACGTGCCCCTGAAAAAGGACTGCTGAGCTTATGAAGAACATGGAGATGGATGAAACAGAAGGAGGGCCTATTTGAGACACATTCCAAGTAACCCGAATTTGTCCAGGATTTCTCTTGAGAAGGGCTGGCAATGCCCTGGAACTGACTGACTTCAGGTACCAGCCTTCCTTCCACAGCCCACAGCAGCACGCTGCTGGAGTACTACTGCTGCCAACACTGACTGAAACAGCGAGCAAACCCCAACATTGCCTATTATTTTCTCCTACTGTCGCACCCAAAGCCTTCCTCCCACGGCATCCTTAGTCAGCGCGTGGGCGCAGAGCCGCGTGTGTGTGCACAGGGGCTGGAAACCGCGTTGTAGCTGCGAGGATGCCGAGCCTGGCGGGGGCTGCCTCGGCCTCTCCGGGGCCACTGTCACCGTGCGGGTCCCTCTCCGTGAGAGGCCTCCGCCTCGGCTTCTCCCCCGGGGATGCCGGGCGAGAGGATGTCTGTCTGTCAGGGTCTTAGCCTTGGGGAGGTGTGAACGCCGCTCCCGGGGCTCACACGGGCGGCACGGCGGCCCTTCCAGGAGGGAGGAAACAGGGAGGGAAGGAGGAAACAAGGAGGGCGGGTGGTGTGTAGGCAGCGAGGAGGCGAGGGTCTCCCAGACCTCCCGCTCTGCGCCCTGGCTGGGAGACCCTGGCCCCCCGAGGCGAGGCGGCTGGGAGAGAGGCGGAGGGTCGGGCGGGGAGGGGGCTGCGAGCGTGTGTGTGTGTGCGCCTGTGTGTGGGCGCGGGCGCCCCCGCCCTTCCCCCGGCGTTGCTGCGCGGTGGGCTGGCGCTGGGGTATTTACGGTAACGTGGACCCGGCGGTGGCAGCTCGGCCGGTGTCAGGTGATCGGCGCCGAGGAGCCGCCGCCGCCCGGGAGGAAGATGCAAGATGGCCCAGCGGGGCCGTGAGGGGCTCCGCGGCGCCCCTTCCCCGCCCGCCGCCTGCCTGGCCGGCGGGAAGCGCTGAGGCCAGCCCCGCCGCGCTACAGCCCGTCCCCGGCGGCGGCACCGAGCCATGGGGCTCTGCTACAGCCTGCGCCCGCGGCTCTTCGGCGACGCCGGCGGCGGCGGCTCCATCTCCAGCGCCGGCGCCGCCTCGGAGCCCGAAGTGCCGGCGGAGCCTCACGCCGCCCCGCAGCCGCAGCCTCTTGGCGTCCCGCTCCGGCCCGGCGGTAAGCCCGGCGGGGAGGCGGACGGGCCGCCGCTGCTGCTGCAGAACGGCGGCGGCGGCAACGGGGCGGCCCCCGAGCGGCAGCCGGCGCTGCCCAAGGCCGGCGGCCCCGGCCTGGGCGGCGGGGGGAAGGCGGCGCGGCAGCAGGCGCTGCACCAGCCGCCGGCGCTGCAGAGGACCTGGGAGAAGCTGCGCCTGGAGGAGCGGGAGGCGGAGAAGGAGGCGAGGAAAGTCAGCAAGAGCATCGACCGGGCGCTCAAGGAGCAGAAGCGGGAGTACAAGCAGACGCACCGCCTGCTGCTGCTCGGTACGTGTGTGTGTGTGTGTGTGTGTGCGGGGGTGTGCCGGGGCGGGCAGGTGCCCCGCGGGACTCCCCGGCAGCGCCCCCTCCGCGGCTTCCCCTGTTTTCTTTGGGAACCCTCCATCCCTCCTTTGTCTCCCCGCTGCCCTCTCCTCGGCCCTGCCCTCCCGCCCCCCGGCCGTGGCCGTCCCCGGGCTCTGCCCCAGACAGGTTTACACCTTCTTTTCCTTTCCTCCTCCCCCTCGTCTGTCCTCCTCCCTTCTGGTTCTGGCAGTGGTTTTGCAATGGAGGACACGGTCGGCGCTTGTCCTGCGAGGGCGAGCGGCTCCACCCAGACCGGCGGGCGGGAGCGATGCGGGAGGGGGAGCGGCGGGGTCTACCCGGGGACAGGAGCCCTGCCCGGGCCGGGGGCTGCTCCTATCGCCCCCGGGGCGGGAAGTTCGCTCAGAAACATTGACCCAGAAAAAAAAACCCCAGCACAGTAGAACGGAGGAAAAATGGCCATGCACAAGATGCGCGTAGCCTGTGGATGGTCCTACTCTGCCGGGTGTAACCAGGGATGCTTTACTGAGGAGCGGTACAGTGGGCTTGAGGCTCCTAAATGAGAGGAGTGCTGATGAGAAATAGGGTCTTTATGTAAAGAATCAGCAAGCAGAGTAAGGGGAAATAAGCGGGTGTAGGTATGTACATTCCTTAGGCATCGCCTCAACTACAAGATGTGTTCTTCAGCTGTTGGCTCTCAGATTTATTTTTTTTTTTAAGGATGATCTGTCAGCTTTTGTCCCCTCTTCTCTGAGGTGCTACGTGCGGTCTGCTATTGCCACTGCTCTTTCTAAGCATTAGTTAATAGTCCTCTCCAGAGGATTTGTACCAGCTGATACATTTACAGTATGAAAACCACAGGGGTATCTAATACAAGCATCTCATTTCCTGCAGGAAACAGAACAGTCATACTGCAGGGCTTTTTTTTTTTTTTTTTATGGTCTGAGAAGAGGGCTTATTTGGCCTCTCAGCTGAGGTCATATATATCTGTTTTCTGTCAGGATGAAAATACTGATTTGCTTTTGCATTAGCTTACTTTGTGTGTTTTTGTAAAGTTGCGTGGTACAAAGTTTTGGTGCTTATCTATGTCCATTCCAGATTTGGGGCAGTCTTTACGTCTTTCTTTATGAAGCTCTGTTTTTGTGTTACTGGACTTCTTCATTCCTGTTGGTGGGTGAGGGGAGGAGAAAATATGAAATACAGCAGCACATGAAAGGTATAAGCAATGTTCGCCAGAACTGTAGTGCTCTACTTCCAAAAACCAAATCACAGACTTTATATTCTTCCGTAAAATAACAGCCTGTAGGATACTAGCACAGTCAGTAAAAGGGAAGAGGAAGAAGACGTAATTCTCCATGGAATTACTAATATTATTTGTAAAATGTCTCTTCTGATTCTTGAACTGTTACAGTAATTAACTCTTAAAAATATGCCTTTTAAAATGAAATATTAATAATTTTAATTTTTTTTTCCTCCTGTAACATCTGAAAGTGTGTTGTGACTAGTATGGCTACAAGAAGGCAGAGATACTGGTTGGTGGCTTTCCTCTAGAGAGCATTGTAGTTGCTTGAACAAAAGGATCCTAACAAATAGATACCATGTGTAGTCTATAACATGGGTGGTTGTCATAGTAAACCAGAGCAGTAAACACCTGTTCAGAAACAATGCCATTTGAAAAATAAACCATCTCTGACCCTTGGCACCCTGAAAGAAACTCAACACTCCTGAGACTGACTGTGTTGAATTTTGTATTAAATCTGTGTCATAATCAAAAAAGATTCTCTTGATCTCCATATTGCTGGGAGGAAATGTTAGATTATTGTTTCAGCCTTGGCAGATCAGGGCCTGATATAAATGTTTGGTTTAGATGCAGAGAGAACTGCAGGTGCTTTGTGTTGCTGTTTGAAAGAAGTGGAAATGCTGCTCCAGATAAGAGGAAATTATTTAGAACGCGGAAGGGTTTATTTGTCAGAGAAGGAGTAAAGCGAAATTGCATTGCATAAGGTAATCTTTTTCAATCTTTCAGAGAGGAAAAGACTTAGGATGTACACAAAGACCTCTTAGAATAAAGAATATTATCAGCCTGATATTTTATAGCATTTCAGGTGGTAAAGAACAGGATCCCCGTCCTTAAGGTCTTCCTGGCAAAGTGAACCTGAAAAGCATACCTTTGCTAGAGAGAGGAGGAATATTATTGTAGATCAACATGGAGGAAATGCATAGCAGAGATGAAATGGTGAATGCAGTGACAGCAGAGCGCTGTCACAGAACAAACAAAGTTGAGCAACAGCGTTGGCGTGGGCTTTGTGTTTCTTTTTTTAAACACATGTTTGTAAATAATAGCCTCATATGCGTTTGTCCTTGTGTACCTTCTATACTATCTGGGGCGAGTTTAGAGGATATTATTGAAATTTTAGAGAAAAACACAGGATATATTTTAAGAAGCTACTACTAGATATCAAAAGGATATGCAAATAAATGCACTAATGTAAGAACACTAAGAATCTCTAGAGTCTAAGTAAGTAGTGTATTAGAAGAGAAGCTTCTATAAATGTTTGGAAACGACCTTTCCTTAGAACCACACTGATTCTTTTATTCTGTCAAATGAGAACAATCAGCTTTGTGATGAGCTGTGCATGTAAGTTACCAAGATATTATGAAGTCTCAAAGGCTTTATTTAGTGTATATTGGTAAATATCTCTCAAAGAGCCTGTTCTTGCCTGTCACAGCTTCCCCCCAGCTAATGTCTCATGCTGCTCATGATGTTTTGATGCTCTCCTCTAACCTACATTTGAAAACATTGAGTGTGTTTTGTCATAACCAGCAGTTGTGAAAGGGAGGGTGTATGCAGTAAGTCCTCAAGATCAACTCTGTCTGTGCCTCCCACGTTAATAGATGTGTATGTATCAGGTAATGTAGAGGCTTTACTGCTGCACTGGAATAACAGCAAATGCTGTTCGCATCTATTTGGGTTTTTTCTGCAAGAAAAAGAACCCGCGTAAAATGGAAACCAGCTTTCCACCACAGTTGGCTGTTTCTTGCTTAATGTCCACTTTAAAAAAAATCAGAAATTGTATGATTATTGATTTAATTGTTGTGCACTTGTATATGTGGGGGTTTTATTTCTTGGTCTTTTTGTAAGTGAAAATGTTCACCTGTGCAAAATTCCTAGGATGCTTTTACTAACCCTAAGATGAAGATTTTTTTGGTGTACATATCTATTGCGCAAATTTACAGGGCTTTATCATAGTCTTGTAGCTTTGGTTTCTGTCTTGGTTTCTGTTTGGTCTTTTTTTTCTAGAGAATTGTAATCACTCTCTTCTACAGAACTGTTTTAGCTGCTGATTTCCTAGAAACTGTAGAAACATTACAAATCACTTTATAGAAGCAATTTACATTCTCATTTCCATTCTCATATTTTAAACTATTTTGTGAGTAAGTGGGGTGAAGGGGAGTTGACTTTAAACAAAGTGTTCACCATTGTGGGATAATTAGGGCTCATGTAATGTTGAAGTAAGCCATAGATAGAATTTTTTTTTTCCTAGGTAGCTGTTGTCGTCTAACCTCTGGCTCCTATTTCTTCCATTTACCCTGACTCCTGGTTGCTGTCCTATGACTTTCTCAAGCAGAACACATTCTTTAACACTTCCCTGCTAAACTGAAACTGAAAGTGTTCTGAATAAGAGCTTTTCTATTCAACAGAAACTGAAAGTAATAATATAGGGATGGAGAGAGGGAAAACAGAGATAATAATTTTCTTCACTTAAAAGGTACTGTAACTGCTTACATGATATTTAAGTATTGACATGATAGCGAAATTTAGATACATTTGGTGATGTTTATGTGCAAAAGTATGTAAAATATATCATGAAACGTAACTCCTCTGAATTGATGGAAATCAAACACAAGGATGCCATGTCAAGCTTTGGAATCTGCTAAGCAAGAGATCCCAGAAACTCAGAGATGTATAGTAAAAGTAATGCTTTTTTAGTTTTCTTAACTATACACCTAAGGACTGTTGTCAGAAATAAACTTTGTTGCAAAGAGGGTTTCTGATCTTACAATGGCTTTTAGACTAAAACTGCAGTCTCCTTATATACTCTACATCAGCAAATCCTGAAGTTTATCATCCATCCCAAAGCCAATTTTAAGACTTAAAATTAAACCTAATAGATTTTACTTTAGAAATAACTTTAACTTGTATATAGTGTCAACTCATGCTTTTTGAGGAATGCTTGGATTTAGTTTAGCTTAACACACTGATACTTTCCCTGTGTCTGCATAAGACTGTATGCTTGAGGTGTATTTCTGTTACCACCAGAGATGATGCCCTCCTTTGTCTGTAAATGAGATTGACAGATTTAGGATCCCTATAGCCAGGTAATCCCAGCGTGAAGATAATGGATATATAATTGGTAGGAACAGGTATTTCCAGGACTTTGAAATAATGGGCTGCAAATACTGAGCGATGTAATAAAGTAAATAGGTTCTAACATCCCCAATCCTTTGCATCATTTGCATTTCTTCCCAAATGCTCTTCTGCTTTGGTTGTAACTTATGGCATCACAGGAAGTGGTATATGCACTCCTGCGGGTGAGGAAACCAGTAGGCAGAAGACACCAGGAAGAGCTGAATTAGTTCTTAACTTGGGGGTTTTAGTGTACTGAAAGCAATCCCTGATTTACAATACTTAGCTTTTCTTTTTCCTGTAAACTAACAACTAACTGCATTTAGCCCGTATTTAGATGTTTTAACTGATTTCCATTCTTTGGTTGATTTTGCTTGTCTTTCATCACTCAATATGTAAGAAAAAAAAGAACTATTTTGGATTTTCCCATGTTAAGCGTAGCAGTGCTGCAAGAGGCTTTTCCTACTGTGCAAGGACGGGTTCTGCATCTGCTACTTAGGCAGGATGAACATTCAGCTAGTAGGCAAGTTTCGTATATCAGTGTGTATTCCACAAA